GTACATATACAGTGTTTAATAAGGACATGATGGAACATCGTAGGCTACCCTGTATATAGTGGTATGACATTCACCATGTAACAATTCTACTGGTGCTTGCAAAGCTTTCATGGTCAAGTGGTTATGACGTCCGCCATGTATGCCAAAAATGTCACGGGTTTGAGTAGCGGTGGAGGCTGAGTTTTTGTTGGTAGGGTGCTGACTACAGAGGATTATGTTAACACCTGATTTTTTTTCTCTAATTTTCATATTTGTCTTGTTTTTGTTTGTTTCTTATGACTTTATAGCAACCTCTTATCATCCATCTACAACTATGATCATCACCTAAATTTACAATGAATTTTAAAAGTTGATGAAAAAAGAAAAGTTTTATCACCATAGATATTCACTTACCGAATCCTCGCTTATCATTATCTTATATTGTGTGCATTCTGATTTACAGTCCCTGGCTGTTGGTCCTTTGCACCCATCTTTGCATTTATGATCACAATTTTGACATTCAAATTTATCGTTGAAATATTCATGTGTTTCACACTTAGACACACACTCGCCTTTACGCTTAAAGTTCTTGCACGAGTCGCAATTATAGCTTCCTTTTGCTGTACAGTTGCGGCATTCCGAGTGGCATTCCTGACAAATCTGTTATAATACAGTAACAAAGATTAAAACAAAAATAAATTATAAATTAAACAAAACATCATTTATAATCATTAACATCATACATAGATTTTAGGCATCGGATTGGTTAAAAAGCAGGTAATAGAAAGTACTATTACCCTTATATGGTATAGTACTTTTTGCCATGCTGCACAATGTGTAATGACTAGGTCGCATTGCTATGTAATTTAAGACAAGCACAAACAGTAAAGGAGACGCAACCCTACGACGCTGAGAGAGGTTGGTCCTATGACTACCAGGCCTATGAAGTAAGCCTAGGCCTACTTGTTGTGCACTATTTTCATTATTTTTTTAGGTCTCATAGAATCTACAGTATGTATGAGGTATATAAAACAAATATTGACTGCTCTAGATTTGGGAAACGGTGAAATCTATAGCCCCTAATTGATGTGGAGACATAGCCTATCTTCCCTCAGTCCTTCAGCCCTGAGGAAGGTAGCCTACGGTCTCTACATCAATGGATTTCACCATTCCCTTCATGAGCAGTCAATATTTGTATACTGTACACACCGTAATGTCTCCATTGAAATTCAAAACACAGATTTTTATCTCATTACCATCATCTCCTCCATCCTCACCCATACCACCATCACCTTCATTTATTATTTGTTGCAATTAATAATAGCATAAAAGCAATAAATAGTATAATTAGGACTAGTTAAGAATAAAACATAAAATATTACCTGGGTTGCTGTATCAGAGCCTTTGAATGACTTTCTTTCATAAAAATAACCTTCATCACAAGTTTTGTTGATTCCAAAAGCACCACCAGTTAAACACTCAATCTAAAAATAACAAAAACTCTTAATTAGATTGAAAATATTAAACCTAATATCATTAGAAACAATTATCAAGGAAAAAAAAAAAAAAAAATTGTTTACGAGCATCATCAAATAAACAATCAGTATATAATTACTCAAATATTTACAGTATGTAATGTCTGACAACAGATTCAGAAATTAAATAATAGTGCCAGATCCCCTCTCTCCTTTCCCGCTACTTGGAAAAAGAATAGTAGACAGATCTCTTGAAATGGGTGGAGGTAGGGAGCTAGGGGAAAAAGATGCGAATGGGAGGGCTCGAGGCCCGGGGGGGGCTCACTCTTAATTATTTCTATACGTGTAGGTGCCGCATTTACAGGGGTATTTTTGAGGACTTGGTAGCACAAGTGTGGGAATTTATGGAAGCATGGTAGCATGTATAGTGTAAATTTACGAGGACTTGGTAGCACAAGTGTGGGAAATACCAGGTAAAATTGGTAGTTAAAGTCCCTGCCCCGTCCCGTATCATCAAAGCAGTATAAATTTTCACATGATTTTAGCGAAGTTTTTTGCTAAAAACTCTGTGCCAAACCTACAGTAGAGATTGCGAACGGACATAACTACGGTCTTATTCGCAATTGGGAACCAGAACAAGTATAATTTGTTAGGTTACATGGCCGCAATAGTAGTTCAACCGATACTGGATTTAGGTAAATATGGTCGTTCAAGTCCCTAATAATTTTCAGTAGAATACCGGTAGGTAGCGCAAGCATCTCATGTCTTGGACTGGCTGCTGCACACCCCCGTAAGGTTGGTATGCAAGTGAATCCCCCGGGGCTCGAGGATTAAATGATTTTCTGTGGGAGGGGGAACGTAGGCTTTTTTGTTTAGATATGCCACTGTTTGTATGTTATGTTTAATTATTAGGCCTTTACCAGGTTGTCTTCCCGGTCCAATTTCACTTTAGCACAAGCATTGCAGCCATTTGTTCCGATGGTGTTTTCAGGTCCCTTACAACTGTAAACAAATAAAACATTTTTTGATTAATAAGAATTATACAAATCACTATTATTGCTTTTACGCCAGAACCTTAGGCGGCCCTTGATGAGGCTAACTGCTGGACAAGTTGGATCTCCAATCAGCAAAGTTGTTTAACTGCCACTGGGTTAGAACACCTTAGTGGGCCCGTGAGAAAACCACAGATTTTAATTAAGTAACATATCTAATAATATTTTGCTGTGCAAGATGGTACCCAATCGACACTGACTTCCAGGATATAATTGATAATAAAGTAGTAAAAACAATCAAATATCATGAATCTGCAGGAGAGGGGTTATTTTTTTGAAGGGATAAATTATCTTATTTAAAATAGCTGAGTGATGATTTTGTTAAAATTTTTTAGGTAAAAGGGGGTTGCTTAACTAAAAGCTGAATGACACCTACCCCTTAACACAATTCTCATGGCATGGTAGGCATATGCCTGAACCATTGCTGTATTTCACTTCTGGACATTTTGGTACGCAAAATGGACCGTCTTTAAAATGCTTACACTGGTTACATTTGTCAGTACCCTGTTGAAAAATGAGAAGCAAGGTTATCATCAACTCACAAAAAAAAGAAATACAATGATACAATAGAAAGAGTTATGCAACATAGATAGTGCACAGATAACAGTAATTATCATCAAACTTTTGTTTTCTCCAATAAAAAACAAAATCATCACAAAATGAGTAAAACACACATAGACCTACACACGCACAAACATGCAAATACACACAAACACATGGCATGTCACTGACAATGATATCGACTGTGTAGCCTAGTATATGCATGGACCTATTAATAGGTCCATGGTATATGCATACAATAATAACCATAATAATATAGCACACACTTTATAGATTTTTAGACTGCTTTACAAAAAGATAAAAAACACTTGAATAAAATTTACAAAATTTGCTGATATATGTTTTAAGTAATGAGCATGAACTTACCGGTCCAAAACACCCACCGACGCATTCCTCATCACAGAATTCACATGTCCCATTTCCTGCATAGTACTCACTATAAAAAATAATAAATACATAAAATAAAACCTGAAATTTTAGAGGTTTAAGTGGTGTTAATTTTAACCAATCTTGAGGACTCTAATGTATTCAACAATGGTAAAAATATTAATAAATCTAACATATTATATTAAAAAATTTTAAGTTAAATTTTTATTATAAGCTAATAATTTTTGAACAATAGAGTATTCTGGAAATATTTAAATGGCTGTTGCTTAAGTTACTGGTTGTTTTGTTGGCTCAAAAATATTAGTATTTAAATTTATTATTCAGTTAACTACTTTTTATTTTAGAAACAGGAGATGTTGTCACATGATCTTTTTTGAACGATGTATTTAGTTTGGATGCTCCTCCCATCTAGAAGTATTGCCAGTCATAAAAAAAAAATTCCAAAGATATTATATTAATTTTATGTCATGTATTTAAATTTCTGGAACAAAAGATGATTGATTGATTTGTCTTACCCATTTGCATAGTCACAATCTTCGACACATTTATTGCCTATCTTTTTGTTTTGACATTTGACGCACTGCTCTGGACCAGGGCCCCAGCAGCCTATGTCCACACACTGCTGATCACAAACTCGGCCTTCTGCACCTACGTGTCATTGAAAATATGGAATTTAGTTCCAAAAAGCTGCTTAAAAATATTAATTTAATTAAATTATTATCAACAACATTTAAATATTATATTTAAACAAGAATTATGTAAGATAATAATTATATTAAAATAACGAGATGGATATCAACATTACTATAAAAAAATTTTTTTTAGAAATCACAAGATATGGCATACATTAAAATGTGAGATTCACATCAACATCTAAGATAATACAAAACAAAATTCAGATTCGGGTTTAATTCAAAACAAAGAAACTAATCATACATACAAATATTTGAAACATCTTCCTTTGAAAATAAATCATGATATTTCATTTGCATAAAAATTAAGAATCTCATTAATTAAAAGTTTCAACCAAAACTTGATGTAGGCCTTATCTCCTGAAAGCATACCATCACCAAAAATCTCAAAGTTAATCATTGTAGGTCATTTTTCTCAAATTATTAATACACAACTACAAATATAGGAAATATGATTTGAGGAGTTGAATAACTTGGTGGGCCCTGGGATCAATTCCTGTGATAGCAGGACTTTTTTCTCCACACTAAAAACAAATCCACTCCCTAAGCCTCATTATGAGACAAGCATAACTGGGCTACTGAAGAGTTTACCCAGTATTCGAGCATAAAGAAAGAGGCCCTATTTAAAAAATAATAATGATGTACATTATTGACCCCTGAGAATGACAAAACCGCTCCCCCCCACAATAAAAGCTTGCTCACTTTACAGTAATATACACATTAATTACTTGAGCATAGAAATTACTGAATATAAAAAATGTGTACCCTTATTTTTATACTGGATAACGATAAAAATTATAAAAACATTTTCCATGCAAAGATGAAATGAAAAATGAAAACTTTAAAAAAAAGTAATGGGGGGCAGGGAGGGTTTGACCTCTATCCAAAGCAACATCATGTTTCCTTGTATATATCTATATTTGTGTATAATAATATTTTCCAATATTTAGTCAACTTCATAATTAATTATATTTATATAAATCCCTGTCTATCAAATTTTATTTGACAAAAACATGTGACATGCCTATAAATATGGTCATGATGACATCACATCATGACTATATATGGGCATCAAACAGTGTTTTTTTTGTCAACGAAAATGTGATAGTGTAGAGAGAGCTTAAATTAATGTATGTATCATACTCCTTGGTCAGTGTGCTGTATGGTAGCAGCTTGCAGAGTAGTAGTGAACTTGTCCTTCAAAGCATGAACAATATTTATATGAAAGAGCCTAAGAATTGACAGAAAAAAAACCAAACCTTGTATAATATTTGTATAACATTGCATTACACATGTAATTATATAAAAGAATCATAAAACATTCAGTACACCATGTGTAAAAATATGGCTTTTTGAGGTAAAACCACTGGTTGGTTGTCATTATTAGAGGAAATAAAATATTTTCAGATTTATGCTACAGTATATAAACCTTTTTTTTAATTTGTATTCATAATTACTATATTTTGCTATAGTAATCTGCAGAAAGTGTTAACAACAATGAATGAATATATGTTAATATTTGTACTTATTTTCATTCCATTATGGTTTTCAATTAATATATTTAGGCTCTTTCAAAAAAATATAATTCTAAAAAGCTTTTTTTTTCTGTAGCAAAAGCTGTTTAATATAAATTAAAAATATAAGCCCAAAAGTTAACATGGCGCTGATAAGATAGGCCAAGAAGAACTCTGCTACACCCATTTCTTCTCAGCCCTTTTAGCATCCATGCCGGTTAATTTACACAATAAACCGCTGACTAATCCATAACCGTTTCTCTGCAACTGAAATGCATTAAATTAAAATGTAAATAAAGTCTTTGTTAGAAAAGTTAAAACAAAAATAAACCAAAATTCAAGTGTGCAAATTGTTAGCTGCTTGTGGATGCCTGCTTGCAAAAAAAAAAATTAAAATAGTGATTACTTCCAAATGCTGCTCCCATTTAGTCCATTTTCAGCACCTTAGGAAAATATGAAGTAAATGAATGCTGGAGCAGGGAATATTATCTGACTATGGTATAACTGACAACTACAAAAACAGACAATATAAAACATTTACCACTAGATGTCATTTAAAATCATGTTATTACATGGTAATAACCAAGAAAACAAACAAATAATGTCGATGCTGAGCCCAGCAAATGCATGGCTGTATTTCCCTTTCTGAAGAGTGCTTTGTCTCAGCTGAAACATCAGCCCAATCTAGGTGGAACTAAAATTTAGATACGTATAGTACCCACAGCCTATATAGAAATATGAGGATGGAGTATATAGCTAACTGATATGACAGTATGGCTGATGAATTTGAAATGAACCGACAGATCTTCTAATAGGTATGAACATGAAAACTTGATTCAGTGAAAATTAAATATCAAATAATTTAACTTGACTACACCAATCCTACCACATGTCAACTTCACAACAACAAACTATTGCTCACGAGATGATCTAGTGAGAGACAATCTGAATAAAGTGAAAAAAGTCACAAGAAAATTTCACATGGGACGATTATACCAAATGGCATCGAAGTCAAAACAAATCAAATATGATAAAAAATAAATATAAACAAAACTAAAAACAGTACAACATATAATCTAGAATCTAATCACATATGATTATGGTTGTAATGATAAGGACAACATTTAAAAATTATTGGCCAACTAAATGGAAAACAAATATTTACTTTTTGAGTAAATCATTTTTTTTTGTCAATTAGAAGATATAATTTGTTTGATTAAAATTTTTAGGGCCTACTTTAATTCAAATTAATTATTAAAGCTGAAACTATTTTATCATCTGCTTTGATCACTAGATGATGGTAATCTTCAATAGTTACTAACACATCATGCAGGGTTTACTGTAAGTTCTAATTGGTGTAAATGTTATACTACGCTATTACCAACTAGTAGTAGCATATATTGCTTGTATTTCCTACTATTAAGAGAGCTAAGATGAAGCACTAACAGCATTTTATATATTCATGAGGGTGCACTTTTTCTTAACCTATGAATGAATTCTATAGCATAAGAAATATCCTTGTTGCATTTTATATAATGCTAGAAATTATACTCTAAATTTTACTAAATCTTTGCATAGGCAGGGCAAAAATGGGGACCGATATCCCATAGTATTTTGCATTATATAATGCCAGAAATTGTACTCTAAATTTTACTAAATCTTTGCATAGACAGGGCAAAAATGGGGACCGATATCCCATAGTATTGTTGATCACTGTTTACCGCATGGTGAATTGTGCATAGATGATGACGGTGATAAAATGTTACAAAGCGAAGTTACGATGCTAATAATCCACGGAACAAAACCTTCACATCACGAATATCGGGAAAGCCCACGTATACTCACTACAATTACTGCCGATTGTTTTAAAAAATTGAGCTTCTTGACTCGAATCGCTAAAAAACTCATTCCACATATTTTTTTTATTATAACATAAATTCCTATTGTGCGTCAAAATCACATTCCCCTGGCTTATTGATTTGAGAGACGTCAATCCTATTGATTCCAAATTGGTACCCGATATTGACAATGACGCATCAAGATGACTAAAAATAAAAAGAGATATAACATCATTAGTCAGATTCTATATACACACTAAAAAACATTAAACTCTGGAATACTTACTACAATCTTTCTCTTCCTTATTTTGGCCAATTCTTACTTTCTGATCAGTTGCATCATTCAAAAGGCCGGTCCACATGGATTTGTTTACATAACAAAGTTGATTGTTTGACCTGATTCTAACATTGCCATCTGAAATACTTTTCAGAGAGGTCAGACCAAGAAATTCTAGCGTGCTCTGCTGTATGTGAAGTGTATCTTGTGTAGCACTAAAAACGCAAAACACACATCCATGTTAGCAACAAGCGTGCACGCCGTGACTCCGGTGGTCACCAATAGCACCGTGATCGTGTAAAAATAAAATTAAAATAAAAATTTGCATTAGAAAAAGTGAATGAATTAGTTAAAAGCGCCTTCCTCACAACCCTATCATTACATTGTTCGGGCCCAAGTTTAAGCAAGGTCTCACAGTCCATGGGAAATACACACTTTAAAAGTGTCTTCCTCCCTACACGATAATAAATGGGTACCTATAGGAGCCTGACATATTTAGGAGCACTGGCATAGGGAACAATAGGTGGTGGTTGGGGAGGGGGAAAATGTTAAATCACAAGCTGGGTAAATGAGTTGAATTTTAACTAGTTGATTGAACCTTTTTGCTCAGAAAAGTTTTAGAGGGGTTAAGTATAAACATACTTTTTTTGTGAGGGAGTAGGAATTGGTTGTAACTCATGAGCTTGGACTTTAAACCTAAGAAACAATTCTCAATTAAAGTCAAGGTGTAAATTTATATAGTCCAGGTGACTCATTTCTGTATAACTTAATACTCTCTAGGGTAACATCATCCCAGGTGGCAGTAGGCACTGTTGTTATGTTCACTGTGGGGCCAAACCAAAACACTGGGGTAAACTGCTCTTCACAAATAATGTCCTGGGTTCATTGTAGTTTACACAATAGAGACTGTGTAAACTGGGCCTACGTTTTATAATCTTTATCCAAAAAGAACTGTTTCACCACCAGGATCATGAGCGCAAGCATATCATTTATAACAGTGCCAATGCTTAGCTGGCACCCCTGCCTTAACATTTTGGCTAAACAGTTATGTGCTCTTGAATATTATATACTGTGTGTTATATGAGAGTGTGTTAAGAAAAGAAAAAGGTTTTAGTTTTTGTTGTTTGAGCTAATAAAAGACGCTTGGCAAATTGAAAAAAAAAAAAAAAAAAATAGTATACCTTATACCTACAGTATACTGTATAGTTATATCATATAGCCTAAAGATATTTAAACAAGTAACACATTTAGCAAAATAATTCAGACTTGTTAAATCAGTCAAAATTGATTATGGTTTAAAAAAATATATATATAATTTACTGTTAGTTTTTAGCAATTAAATTACAAAATAAAGTCACCCTTATTAACCTAAGCTCATGTACTCACACCACTGAAAACATATTGCTATTAAATTCAAATTAATTTTTCCCCATAAATAACAAGGGTGACCATGGTAGAGCGAAAAAGTAAATTGAAATAAATGGTAGTCATACCAAATTTCAAGTTTGGCTGTTACACAGTATTTGTGGATCTTGTGATGCTAAAATTACAGTAAATACACAAACGGTAATAGTTGTCAAAATTTAAGAATGATGAGTAATATAGAGTCCGCTAAGCTATTATCCCATAACCAATAGAAGAATGAGGGGAGGCATTATTAAATTTTTTATCAATGCACAAAATAGCTGAATTAATGATAACAAAAAAATCATTTGAGCATCCAGGTCTACCCAAAAAAAAGTTACAACTCATTTCACTTGTGCATTTTGAAAGGTTTAGTATAAATGTAGTGCACAAGAAAATATTTAAATATTTTTTGATATGTGTAACTTAATTATATAATGTACAGCTTCATTTTCTCAGCTCTTACAGACTAGTGTAAAAAAAAAAAAAAAATATAGGATGAAATTTTTTGTGGTTGTATTTTAATAGTATTAAAGCTTTTAGAGAAAATATTAGTACCATTGTTAATAATTTGTGAAAAGTTTGGTATTATTAGTTTTTGCATGGCAGTTATATAAATTTTACCTGTAATGTTCCCGTCCTTTGATTTCGGTTAGGTTCTCAAACATTGACAAGTTGGTCAGCCCTGGATGCATTGCTTGAACGGACAGAAACCCATTGATGACCTTAACGGTCCTGAATATCTCCAAATCTTTCATGGTCAGGGGCTCTATATTTTCCAAAGGGTCCCTAAAGTGAAAACAAAATACAAGGTTTTATAACATTTTTTTTTTTTGCAGCAAGCATCTTGTGAAAATTATGCTGGTTAAATTTTGAAAAATCAAACACTTTAAATACCAGTAGTTTATATAGCTACTCTATATTATTTAACAAATTCTGATAATAGGTCTACAAAGTAACTATAGTAATTTCTAACATAGCAATAATTGACAACACTTTCTAAACACATTATCATCAAAAATCACCATAACATCATGATCATCATCAATAACATCATCATGGGCGGATCCAGAGATATCCAAAAGAGGGGTGGGGGCCGATCGAGACAACGCTCTGCTAGGAGGTCCGCGAAATTTTTGTGTTCTAGAAAATAACATTTGAGGCGTTCTGGGCTATCATTTTTTTCTTTTTCTTTCTTTCTTTTTTTTAACTTCCACCACCCACCCCCTGCTCCCTAAATTCGCCCCTGATCATTAACATCACCATCAACGTCATCAATATTATTAATCACACCATCAATATTATCATAAATCGTATCATCATCATCATCATCATAACTAATATTCTCATTGACATCTTCATTTTCATCCTAAACATCATCCTCTTTCTAAATTCTAATCACATTCATCATCAATTTTATTTTCTGAAATTTAATCTAAATTATATTAACGCAAATGCTGTTTCTAAACTAAGCAATCGGTTATGTTTGTTTTGGTCACATGGATAACTTAACGCAGATTAACGCACTCTGGCTACGTTAATTTTCGTTGTCAACAAAGTCTATTTTACGAACCAGTCAAATGAAAATAGTACTCAATGAAAATTTGTAGTCAACGAAATGAACAAGTCCAATATGCCCATTGTCACAGCCAATATTGCCATCATCATCTTTAACATCATCATCACTCCCCTTACGTGAGTGTAAAAATTATTCCTTATAGTTATATAATAGACTTTTGGTATTGAATGTACAAACTGTGTAAATAAAATATAAATCTATGTTAATGAGTTACCAAAAAAAAATATAATATAGTTTTTGAGTTGTTTTGCTGCTTGCAATTCTGAGGATAAATTCTTACCCAAGAAATGTAATTACACCAATGATTATATTAAACTTGATGATTGTACAGCCACCTTTAAGGCTATCATAGTTCTTAGCACTCAAGGTTTCTGAACTTTGCAAACCTTCACAAGCTGAAAATCAGTAAAAATTAAACAAAAATTACAAATAATAATATAGTTTGACTTAACATGTATTTGACATCATCAATTGGCAAAAAAACCCCAAATAATGCAGATAATTTTCAATCATTTAATTATTACAGCATGTCTCCCTCTAATCTGTTCTATTTTCTCTATGCTCTAATTAAAAACCCTTCATATTAAGGATCACCTCAAATTAAAGACCCTCTTTCTACATTCTCAAGTGAATGCCTATTTTTTTCTTATCAATATTTATGAGTAGTGCATATTAAACATGGCCACATAAAGAAGAGAGCGACTCTCAATTTTGAAAGTCAGCACTTTGAGAGTATTTTTTAAAGTCAGATAATGCACTTTATAAATTCTATTGTTATTATTATTATTATTATTATTATTATTAAATTAGGACCAAAGTTACTAAAGACCAGGAAAAAGTCCCAATATAATGGTCTTTAATTAGAGGGAGACCTGTACTATATATCACATAAAGAACATAAATATCAACTATACCTCTGGCTTGACAGAATTAATCTTTCCACTAGGCCCCACCCCTTGAATATTCAACTTACTTTTAGGACAAGGTCCATCACAATCAACACATATCCCATCCTTTTCTTCTTTTCCATCATCACATTGCTTTACACATGTATCGCTTTCTGTCAGAAAGTTACCTGAGAAAGTATGTCAGTAAATAATGTATTAAAAAGAACATAATCAATTT